CTCCTCCTCCTCCTCACCGCCACCACCATCCCTTATTGTCCTCTTTCTCTGACAGGATCACCCCTTCTTCACTCTCCATGACACCAGTGACCCCACAGTGACCGAGATGGCTTCCTTCGTCACGGAAATCCTCGGGGAAGACTCTTAAATTTCCCCACCCTCCCCCTGACCTCGCCGTCGTGCCAAATAAACTGGAGTAGCATCGTCCTCGTTTCTCCCGGTGGGAAGAACCGAGGCAGTTTGAAAACTTCTTAGCATTACCGGCGGTTTGCACACACACACAAAAAAACAGATTGTGAAAACGTCTTTTGTTTGCAACCTCCATCAGCCCAATTTAACCTCACGCGATACTTCGTGCCTTCGAGAGTGGCGTGTGGCCGCACCCTGCGTGAAGAAATCTAGCTGCGGAGGACCCGAGGTCGGTCCTGGAAATCCTTTACTGCCATTTCAGCTGCCGAGGTGAATTTTTTGCGCGTTCCCCCGCAGTAAACCTTTCCTGCCCCCCCCCACCTCGCCCCCCGCCCCAAATGCAACTGTGGACATTCAGACGTTTTCTAGACTTGATGCAAAACCGCGACACCCTCCACCCCTTTAAAGAGCTGTCTGCGGATGCCGCTGCTAAGAAGGAGCTTGTGTTGGCTTTTTTACGCTTTGCAGTTTCAAAAAATCTCTTTCTATAGAAAATCAAGAAGGTTTTAGTAGTTTCTGGAAGTAGGTGTTCTATCTTCTGCAATTCTCTCTCTCTCTCTCCCTTCTTTAATCCCGCGGCAGTATTCCTCGACCTCAGCAATTTTCAGATGCCCAGAATTCTTCAAAAGCGGGAGAATTAATGGGAGATGAAGTCCACACATCGTAAAGTTGCTCAGGTTGAAAAGCTGCCAGAGGAACAATTTCCCTTCTTCCCCCCCCCATCCCCAAAAAAACTCATCCTGGAAAGATTTTACAGCCCAATTTTGTGACCTCTGTTGCTGGATTGTAAAGCTGCCCCACCTACCCTCGTTTTGTCATCTCCTTCCAATGTTTCCTTCAAAGAATTCATATACGAAGAGGATACATGCTAGTTTTTGGCATCAGCAGCCCGGAGATCACACGTCTTCTCAAACTTCTTTGTGCTTTTCAACATCCAGATGTTTTGATGTATGTTTCACCTTGAAATGAGATGTGCTGAGCCTTCTCCCCTCCCCTCCCACCCCAAAAGGTCCAGCTATTGTGAGGATCTTGTCTCTGGAGACATCACTGGAGGTTGAGAATGTTAATAAAAAAAATTAAATAGCCTCCCCCCTGCGTTTCAAGAGATGGATTGAGGTGGATCACTTTGATTGCACTGAAACTGGGAAGCATTTTTGATCCGGTGGGCTGATTCCCCCTTTCTCTCAACTCTTTGTCATCCCTTCCTGGACTGGGTGGAACTAGGAAGTCCACCTCGAGGTTAGGAGGATCTACCTTCCCTTGAGATGTTCAGTCTTCCCCATCACTCTTTAGCTCCACGATGGGTCCACCAGAAGCTCACTTCCCTTGCAATATTGTCCACTGCCCCTTCACAAAACGTATCTCCACCCACCCAGATTTTTGCACACCCTTGTTGTTTAGTGCCAAGCAATTGTAGCTTAGCCTACTGTGTAAACCCAACAGTGGATGAATTGCCGTGATTACCTTCACCAAGTCCAAGCACTCACCATCGTGTTGAAGCCAATGAGATTCCCACCAAGATATCCATCATGGTTTAGGAGCTACAAGACCCGGTTCACACACGTGCACCACATCTTGGCTTGTTGTTCATTGAGTTAGCCATGCTAAAACCACGGTGGTAAGGTGATGGCTTTCTCTGCCTGACGGAGAACATCTGGATTGAAGTGGAAAGTGTTGGCCTATGAAGGACGTGGTTCCTGCAGTGAGCCCATTTCTGATTGATCATCTGTATCTTACTTCCGCAGGGGGAAAAAACCCCTTAGGAACATGGGTGTGAATGATTCTTAAAGGGGGAACAAATGAAATATTTTTTCCGCCCCTCCCCTCCAAAGAACTAAACAATATGGAGAATTCTTCCCTTCTGACAGATCTGCTTCTAAGAAAATTTTCTCTTCCTTCCCCCCACTCAAAAGCAAATGTTGCCAGTGGCTTAATTCACGCTTTTTGTTTTTCAATAAATTCTCTCCCTCCTATCCCCCAAAAAGTAAATTATCTTTAAGTGTGTGCATATGTTTGCGTAAATGAATAGATGCAGAATAAGCATGGAGGAAGTGCCAGCACCTGAAAGTTCTAAAAGAACATTAAAACAGAAAAGAAGGAAAAAGGGAAAATGCATTTTAAGGACACTGGAAATGGCTCTAGCCAGGAATTCACGAGTCAGATGCTAAAGAACAACTCTACCTATTTATTTTATCCGTCCGGTCTGAAGAAATATCCTTAGCCACCTCAAGCTTAAGATTTGGTCTTCACCCACAGCCATCTCCACTGGGGGTTGAATGAGTTGCTAGTCCCTGTTGATCCATTAAAATATCTCAGCCGTGGTGATGTAAGAGATGGAACTTTGATCCTTCCTCCAAGATGCTTTTAAAAACAAGTTTCCCATTATCAGCTTTGAAAGACCCTGGTGATCACTTGCCCAAGTACTAACCAGACCCTCGCAATATATTTTCCAGAATCAGCTATGGGTCACCATTGCCCACCTGTAAGGGGTTTGTAAAATCTAGGCTAATTTAAATCGCTCCCTAGAATTTTTTTTGTACCTGAGGCCTCTTCTAAAGATATTTTTCTTGTGCTGTTCTAACAGGTCTAAGCTGCTGATCAAACCTCTGTTCATAATTTGTCTTGAAAGCCCGTTTAAAATGGCTGAAGGCCACCAGTGTCCTTAATATCTCGAGATGGGTGACTAATAAATAAATTTCCTTCCTAGATGTTCAACCTTCCCTTCTGAGAGTTGCTACTGCCTTAAGTTACCTATAAATAAAAGCAACTTTAAAAAAAATAAATTGCAGAACATAAATATTCGGGGAGGCTATTCCGTCCATTCTCTTTGTAAGTTAACATGTTCCGCTTTGGGGTTTGACTTGATCCTGTGTGATTTGGGGAGGGGAGTTCCCAGACTTGGTCAGAGACATGAAGTGACCCCCCAAAACTACAGGAAATTGACCATCTTATGTATTACCATTGCTTGAACCAATGAATGTTGCATGCAGCTTCCGAAATTGAGATACCCCCATTATAGTTTTCCAGCCTGTTCTCGTTCTGGTGTGTAATGTCTTGCTTTTTTTTTTTTTTAACCTCTGCACTTTTGGGAGGCAAATTTAGAGAACATTTCCTGCGTTTGTCTTTTGAGTCTAATGCAATGTTTCTCAACCTGGACCACTTGAAGATGTGTGGACTACTACAACTTCCAGAATTCCCCAGCCGGCACGGCTGACGGAATTCTGGGAGTTGAAGTCCCCGCGTGTTCCAAGTTGCCAAGCTGGAGCCACGCCGATCTAATTAGTCAGGCTTTAGGTGGCTTTGGATGCTGCTGCTGGGCCTCTGTAATATTTTTATTTCTTACTGGTTTTGGATTAGCAAGAGGGTGTTTTGGCTATCGCTCCCTGGGCCTCTTTTTGTGCTTCAGGGTTTGTTTCTTCAAATGCATGCCTTTGGATTTTACAGAGTTCTCTTCCACCTTCTTCTCTTCCCCATCTTGCAAAACAAAACAAAAAAAGTTGTTGATTTGGAACCCGGCAAATGAAATGACCACAGAAGCCCTTGTGGAACACGAGCTGGGTCTCCAACGGGGCAAATGTGAAACTGATCTTGGTTTAAAGAAAGCTTGATAGCGCATGAGCCCCAGACTCGCCTTCCGTTTTATTTTGTTTTTTTTTCTTTTTCCTTTCACCACTCTTTCTCCTCTCCTTCCCCCCCCCCTTCCCACGTTTCCAGCAGAAATGGAAGACTATTTATATTTAGACAAGAATTCCGGGTGCTTTGATGATTTGAAAGGTTCTCTCTAATAAACTAACTTGGTTGTTGGTTTTCAATAAAAGAAGCTCCCAATCTAGTTTCTGCTTGGTGGCTTTCTTGAAAAAGGGGGAAGCATTCGTTCTTTTCATTCACTCACTCATTCATTCACTCATTCATTGAAATTTTCAACAAAGGGAGGGGCTGGATTTGAATCTGAGCTAATTGACATCCCCATGACAGATAGTCCTTGACTTAAAACCATTTGTTTAGTGACTGTTTGAAGTTACAACAAAAAGCGGCTTGCAACCATATTCTTACTTAGCAACCGTTGCACGTTGTATGGTCAAAATGCAGGCACTTGGCAACCAGTGTGTTATGTGTCACAATTGCAGCATCCCACGGTCATGGGATTGCCATCTGAGGCCTTCCCAGCCGGCTGTGGACAAGTAAAGTCAATGGGGGAACATGGATTCACATAATGACTGCCTGAAAACAATATCTCCTGCTAAATACATGGGAAAATTCACTTAGGGTTAGGGTTAGGTCTCCATGAATTCGGAGGGCAAAATGGACCTCGCCAATGGATTCGGAGCCCATGGGTATGGTTAGGAGGGTGCATATTATCTGAACCTGCCTGAACTCCGTTCCCTGGCAAAATACATGGGAAAATCCCATTGGGGGAAAATCCACTTAGGGTTAGGGTTAGGTCTCCATGAATTTGGAGGGCAAAATGGACATCGTCAAAAGATTCAGAGCCCATGGGTATGGTTAGGAGGGTGCAAATTTTCCTAGCCTGCCTTAACTCCATTCCCTGGCAAAATACATGGGAAAATCCAGTTAGGGTTAGGTCTCCATGAATTTGGAGGGCAAAATGGAGCTCGCCAATGGATTCGGAGCCCATGGGTATGGTTAGGAGGGTGCTGACTTTTCAAGCCTGCTCTATCTACATGACACCAACTTGATGGCCCTTAATCAAATAAGCAATGACCTGATCTAAGAATAGAGAAGGTTGGTACATATCTTTGGGCTATAACATCCTTTTTTTCTATATTTCACCTGAAAAAATAAGACTTTCTCGCGCCCAGATTTTCATTGTTAAGATATTGAGCTGTTCATCTAAACCAGGAGTGTCCAGTCTTGGCAACTTTTTAGGCTTGTGAACTTTTTAACTCCCAGAATTCACCATCTTTCCACTGATTGACCCCACGGTGGTGCTGTCGAGTT